ACACCTGCATTTATCGACTCCGGGCGCACGGCTTCGAGCCCAGTTTTCCCTAGCTACTACGACGGAGCAACCTTGAGCGAAAGAAAGCCAGTAAGAGAGTGGTACTGTGCACTTTCTTTATTTTGTTTTTTTATATAGTTTGATCAGATATGTTTAGGTTTCTGGTTGTAGAATCCTCAATTATCTTATTAATACACTTCTGTAGTTAAAGGTTTGGGGGGTGACATATTGGAATTGGGGTTTGTATGTTTTAGCTGACACATTTTTTCCCTTGCTATTTTTTGCTGGCTTTTTTGACCATAACATCAGGCTTGATGAATGTTATTCAGGTTTAAGTATTTGTTGTGGATGTAATTGATTTTCTCATGTTGTAAATGTTTATAATTCAGAATCATGAAAAATAATTTGGATAATTACATACAGACCACCCGAAACATTGATATTTACGGATTAATCACCCAAGTAATTTTTTTGAACTGACGGATGTATTTGTACGTGCCACGATCAAATCATTGAGAGTTTGATAAAAATGGAAAATACGGGTTGGGGTTTTACCACGAGTTTTGTATCTGTCGTTGTGCTTATTTGATGTAATTAGAACTTTTTTGAGCTATATAAATATTATTAAACTTTTTGGTATTTTCATTTCTTGACATTTGAGAAAATAACATTCTGCTACACAAATTATTCATTGAACTAAAAAAAATTTCAAATAAGCTGTTTACAAGACACACAAACCAAACAGTTAAACAACTTATTCAGAACATGGGCAAAATGGTCAATTTTTCATAATCAGCTGTTTTCCAGATGCACTAACCAAACAACCAGACAGCTTATCCGAATCAGCTGGTCATCAGCAGATTATCAGGATAAGCTGTTTATCAGCAGAAGCTGGATAAGCTGTAGCTGTCCCAAACAGACCCTAAATGTATTCAAAATCATTCAAATTTCAAAACGGTCCTAATTTTATTTTCTTGTTGTTTCAGAGAATAAAGTGCACTTCTGTTTTTAAAGAAGTTGAATTTCAATGACAGTTATATTACAAAAATAGCAATTAAAAATTATTTCAAATTTTTTTCCTCTAATTCAAGAGAAAATCTCTATTAATTTTACTATAAAATTAGGAATTATTTAATTTATTGAGGAAGAATAAGTATAAAATTAATATAATGTTAAAGTAACATATTATATTTAAAATATTTAAGATTTATTCCATACACTGTAAAATAAATATATGATTTTCCAATTTCTTTATTCACTTAAAAAAAATAAATTTAATGTAAGACAAACTCATCAAAGGCAAGTGGTCAGTGCCGGTAGACGTGAACGATGTCTGACAGTGAAAAGTGTCTGTTGTTAGACAGCGGTAGATAGGTAAACAGACGAGCATCAAAGGTGGGTGATTAGCGACAACTGTGGTGGCTGCAGGTGACGAGCAACAAGCGGCAATGACAGGTGGCAGCTGATGGCGACATCACTTTACACACAAATTAGACTATTTATTATTCGCCCAAAATAAAAATATTTCAAATTTATTAAAAATGAACTAGATCGAATTTCAAATATATTGAATTTTTACACTTTGATGTGCTTGACAACCCTTCTCTTCTTTTTTTTTTCTTTTCTTTTCTCTTTTTTGATATTTAAGTTATTAAGTTATAATTTAAGCTGCGGCTTGGCGCACAAACCTTGCCATATAAGGGTGCGTTTAAGACGTGCCACAATTTGATTTTTCTATTTGATAAATTATATTTTATCTGTTTTTTTTTTTAAGTTGTATTTGAAAGTTATGTTTTACTATTTATCTTGACAATAAAATATATTAAACCAATAAAATAAAAAAAAATAAATCTCCAAATGCGTGGGACCCACAGCAATCGAGTGAGGAAAAGAAAAAAAATCCAAACCTTATCTTCTCTTATCTCCCATAAACTCCCAAAAAGCTCTTCTCCTACACCTCAAACCAATTTCAGAAGAGGAAGACAAATTCAAGGCTGAAGATTTGAAGATGCAGGCAGCTGGGAGTATTTGCTTCAGCTCTGCCCTTTTGCCTCTGACAAACACCAAAAGCTTGTTGCTGCCAAGTCCAACATCCTCCTTGAGGCAGAAGACGAAAAGAGCAAAGCTGGCTCTAGCCAAGGTCACCGGCGGGGGGGGGGGGGGGGGGGGGGCGGGGGGGGTGCAGATCCCGCCGCCGTGGACAGTGTGGTCGATTACAGCTCTTTGGGCTCGTATGTTGTTTTTATCACTTCAATTGTTTGCTTATGTTTATAAAATAATAGTATGTAGGAGAAGTTTGAAAGCTTCTAAGATTTAGGGTCCGTTTGGGTCAGCTTATAAGTGCGGAAGGTGTTTTCAAAACGCCACCATACTGTTTGGTTCACGCATTTCATCAGCTTATCCAAAACTGCGTTTGAGTTTGTATCCTTCGACCCCTGCTGCCGGCCCGCGGGCCGCGTTTCAGGCTAAGGGATAAGCAGCTTATCGTGAAACACACAATTTGCCTCAAACGGACTCTTAGGGTCCTTTTGGGGCGGCTTGTGCGTTTCAGGATAAGCTGTTTATCCTAAAACGCGGCCCGCAGGCCGGCCGCATGGGTCGACCCGCGACCTGCGTTTAGTGTACAGTTTCAGATAAGCTGACGAAACGCGCGAATCAAACGGTACGCCGCGGTACGCCGCCCGCACTTATAAGCCCGCACTTATAAGCTGCCCCAAACAGACCCTTAATCTAGTAGGATCTAGTGATTCTGGAATGATTAAATTTACAAAATTTATTGACATGTGGTTAGAATATTTGAAGCTGACATTGTTTTAGGGATTTAAGCCTATTAATTTAGGTAGATTGTAATAATAATATTTGATAAAAATAGTTAAAATATATTATGTAAGTACAAACTAGTATTCATTCCCATAATATTGTAATTAACATATGAAATTAGTCTATAATTAATGTTTTTGTATTCATAAATTAATTATTAATTAATCAGTATTTAGAATTATATTAAACTAAATAAAAGTAATTAGTATTTTAGGTCAACTATTCAAGTATTAATTAATTATTTATTTAAATAAACAAACTAATTTCTTTTTCATATTGGTTAAATTTAAATAAGAATGACTTTTATAAAAGTGCTCTTTTTATGCCATTATTTAATAAATTATGCACTTAAATCCAAACTATTTTTTTTTTTTTTGAAATTTACATACATACATACAATACAATTCTTATGTTGTAACATATCTATCATCCAAAGTCTAATATCTATAATTATAGCATCTTGGTCTCAGAATCCTAGAAAATATTCGGTACGTAAGACGTACGCAACGCTACGTACGTCGAAGGGTACAGGAGGGTTATATCCGCATTAAAACTACAGAAGTGCGAAACTTATTTGTAGGTTACAAGGATGTTACATGAGGTATAACGCTCATATAAGCCCCCTATACCCTCTGAATAACCTTCCGACATACGCAGCGCTATGTACGTCTTACGTATGCAAATATTTTCCCAGAATCCTAAGCATGAAAAGTTATATTTCACTTAAAAAAAAGATGAAGATGATGATATTTTTGATATAAATATGAATGCTAAGGTGTTAGATGTGTAAATATGTAAGAAATGTTTGGTAATAACGAGTTGTTGCAGGGTTTTTCCTGCTG